GAGGGGTTCTGTTTCTTAATATTTCTAGCTACTGAGGAGCATTTTTGTGAGTAGGCATTCTTTTAGACTACTAGCATTTTTTCAGCCACCCTTTTTAGATCAAAAGCCACATATTACAAATATCTGATATATAGTACATGCAGTATGCACTTCCTCCCTTTTTTTGCAACTGACAGCACAGAATCTGTATTAAATAAGTCTACCCAGAATATAGACATAAGTATGGCAGATCTAGAATTTTGAAAAGGGGGTACACATGGTGAGGTACATCAAATATGAAACACGTATTTTCTTCCATTAAAAATAAACCAAAAGATTTACAAATATGCTAGGGGCCTACAGCTGTATTATTCAGTTTAAGAGTGAAGTAAAAACCAATGCAACTTGACTGCAATGCGTTAGAAACCATCTGTAGGGCTGTGAAATAGGAACTTCATTACCAGGAGCAGCTAACAGACAGCAGAATTGCAGAACAAAAGATAGCTTGACTGGTGAAACATCAAGATCATTAAAAAGAAGAGACGGTCATTAACAGGGATCACATACACTATAAGCCATGAAGTCAGTTGACTCCTTCAGCACTGTCACTGCCAGCACCACCCCCCCTGGGATGCATCCTCGCAAGATTTGGGTGCACCTCCCCTGACCCCAGATCTGCCTCTGGACAAAAGGTTTTATTCCTGCCATGCCTGTTGTCTCTCAGGTAGCCAAAAAAAAAAAAAAAAAAAAACCACACACAAAAAAAAAAACACCTTAAAATTTAACTTTACAAACAAGTAGATAATCTAAGGTTGACATTATTTTCTTAGAAGACTTTTAATGCCTTTGGTATACAGTCCAATATTCAAATTTAGAAAATGCAGACTATAGATATGTTCTGAAATTCTCATTACCAGACAAAATGAAACATTTTGCAAAATTCTACAAATCAAATGAGATGTTAGGAGAAAAAAAACAAAAAACAAAAAAAACACACTATTGAAAAATACATAGGTCTCTCACTCTTGTTGGACATGGCTGAGCTGTAAACGTGTGGAGTTCAGTTCTTTCTCCAGCTCTTGCAATTCATAGTTCTTTGTGCTGGCAAATTCTCTCAGCTGCCTTTCTTTTTCAACTGAATCCTAGAACAAAATATGGATATCACACTCTTAGAATACTATGCCTTCAAGTTATAAAGCATTCCCTTGGCATTTATGAAAATCTGCGAGTTTCTCAAATGTAGCAGTAAAGAACATTTCTGAAACAGTGATTCACCACAAAAATGGCAAAAAATGTAATAAAGAAGCTGCTGGTTCAAACAGCAATTTCTTTGTTATGCAGAGACAAATTTAACATGTGGTCAGGTCTTAGACCCTCCACTATCCCACAGCGCTCTGCTCTCCTTTTCTCCCCCACAACAATGAGTTGCCAGGGAGGCTTGCAGGCTGCCCTGCACACATTGTCCACTGGATAGCAACAGGGACAAGGGAGCTTGCAGTGGTGGCAGGGGGCACCAAGGAGCAGCCCCCTATCACCCTCTGACCAGAGAGCATGAATTTGTTCAGCTCCAGCCAGGGGGGCTTTTTAACTAATGGCTGCCCATAACACTTTATTTTCTGTAATGCTACAAATTTTGTAGCACTACATAAATAACATCTAGAGGAGGTCACATAGAGCACAAGACAGACAGAGAGATTAAATTACACCAGCAAAAAGTCATGCATTGAGGGGCTTCTCATTTTCTTTGCCGTTTCATTAGAAGACATGCATAGTAAATAGGCGTACAAACCCATATCAAACTTTGGTCTACAATTTTTCTTTATAAACTCTTAGGTAAAAATGTTCCAACAATTAATTTTGAGCTTTTATGAATTTATTTTTCATACATTATTGTATAGGTGAAACAAAAAAGCATGAGGTTTTTTAATTTTATAAATCTATTACAATTGAAAAGAATATGTCTTTGTACATGTAACTGTCTGAGGACCTCTGCTTGGTCCAATGCAGTTCTAAATAGACTAGTAGTTGTGTAATGGTCTTTAATTCTCTTTTGAAAAGTGTTCATTTGGAGTGCAATTGAAAAAACTACTGTTAACACGCAGATTCTTTCTATCATCATTTTCAATTTTACCATCAAGAGAGCTTAATAAAATGTATCCTAGCTCCTAAGGATGTGATTTTTCACTTATTTGGGAGAGATACTCCCTTTAATAACATTTTTTTTTTTTTTTTTTAATTTTAAAAAGTCAGGAGGATTAAGCAGACCCTGAAGTGCCAGTCTTCAACATTATATTTTCTCACATATAGTGCATCCCAGGATAAGACAAGCACCTTGGCCACTGACAGACATGGAAGCAAACAAAACCCCGTGCTTTACCAGAAGAGAAAGCACATCAGTCTGACCTGGCTCTCTAGCATCTGTATAGATCTTACACTTTAGCAGAGCTTTTTGGCACTTTTATCTAATAGCTAAAAGTGCCAAAAACCCACTTTGAATCGTGCAATCTATACAGACATTGGGTAGGCCATGTCAAAACTTGACACACTTTCTCTTCTGGGTATGTGCTGTGCTTGGCATGGGGGCATGCCAAGATGAAAGTAAAGCACTGGGTTTTGGTGGGGTGGGGTTCACATCTGTAAGCAGCCTTTACAGGCAGAATGGCAGCAGATCTTACAACCCTGAAAGGCAGAACGAATTGAAAAGATCTTTCCTGGGAGTACGCACTCAAGTAATAGCACCTAGGGAGCTGAACCTGCTCATTGTTCTTCTCCTTGTGGAGTGTGCAGAATTTACTTTCACTTCTGTCTGGTAAATGGCAGAAACTACTCTTATCATATTTTCTCCCATGTAATATATACTTAAATTTCCAGCAGCTGGTTTTTGAAAAAAGGTATGTGCTATGTGAGAAAATATGGTACTTTTTCCTAAAACTGACCATCAGCTAATTTAATTCTTTTCTTCCAGTACACACAACCAGAGGATCTGCCTCTCTAGTAGAACTGTCATTAACACCATTTCTCCTTTAACTTCTGCTGCACAATACATTAAATTTAAGGAAATATACATCACTGTTATCCTTGCCTTTAATGCTAGGATTACTATAGTAGTACGAGTTATATTAATTTCCATTAAAAACAAAAAAACTCATACAAATAATGTAAAAAATATAAATGCCAAGCAAACATCATTTTTCATAGGAGAAAGAGAAATCACAACTGAATAGCATGACATTTTTATGCCCACTCCTCTTCCAACCCCTCCGCAGTTCTTATAAAAACGCAAGCTTAGAACTAACATATATCTTAACCTTGATATATACATTTTCAAAAACAGCCCATTTCTTCAACAAGATAAAATACTCCATTTAAAAAAACCCAAAAAAACAAAAAACACTTTTCTTTGTGAAACAGCATAAGCCCTGGTTTGCCAGTCTGGTTCAATTAACTTCAATGACTTTTTTCACTTCTCTCTTAAAGCTACTATAAAAGTTACATAATTGTTTTAACTGTCACAAGGCAAACTGTGAGAGTGTTAGACAGTTATTAACAGAGATTCTTTCTTAATTGTAGGAAAGCTTTTAATCAATGTCATTCTATTCCCTTAAAACTGTGCATACCTGAATGAGAGAGAGATTGGTTTCAAACGGCCTTCCTGAAGCAGCACTGGAAAAACAAGTTCCAAGCCATGGCAAAAGACGAGATTTTATTGTTTCTACGCCTGCATAATGCCCACCTAAGACAATACATAAAACAGAAATATGTGAGAAAAATGCATAAACAAATCTTTAGCCAGCATTTAAAAAAAAAAAAAAAATGGAGTTGTATGCACTAATTACTGGGGCAAAAAACAAACAAACAAACAAACACTCTCACCTTCTCGGGCCGTTTGATTGAGGATGGTGAAGAGTTGCCCCTGTATCATGGAGTTTATTTCTATGATTTCACAACACTGGTTCAGATTCTGATCACAAGAGTTAATCTGTAAAGAAGCAGCATTCAAATATTTGAGATATTTGGTATTTACCTCTCTAAATAATTCTGGTTACAGTGTACATTGAACATGACATCAGACCTTTTTCTTAAATTATGTCTGCAGTTGGGTTTTTTTAAATGTTCAATATACCATAGCTGGATATTCACATGCTCTCAATATTGAGAAAAGCATGTAATGATAATAGTTAGATCAGAAGGTTTGGAGTCAGATTTCCAAGTTCTGTTCTCTATCGAGGACTTGGCAGATGGAAATCACTTATATGACTGTCCTAGCTTCCCCTATACATAAAGTAGGTATAATAAGATTTACGCCTCATAGAAGTGCCATGAAAATTTACTACTATTTAAAAACATTAAATTGGACATTAGATAAAATGCCCTATACACATGCCAAGTATGCCTCTACATGTTACATGGAATACACCGAGCAGATTTTGTTGTTTTTCCAACAGTGGCTTTCTTGCGATTTCATGCAGCTTTTAATTAAGTACCAGAACACAATTTGACCAACAGAAGCTAGCATTTTTGTCCTTGACACAAAAAGCATTAAAAATATATATCAGTCAGCTAGCTCAGAGATTTGAATGCATGCCTCAAATGAAACTGAAATCTTTCCAGGCCACTACTGTTGTCACTAAAACTGTAGTGAAGAGCTCTACCCTACTACCTCATTGTTCTACCACTTGATACTTCCTGCATGTCACTCAAATCACATGACCCAAACACCATCTTCAACTCAAGCCTTTGTCTTCATCTTCAGCAATGTCTAACTCTTGTAGACTGTTTGGCCACATCCAGATGAGCACAACCATGCAGCATGTACTGCTGCAGACACATCTGCGGCACTACATACTGCATGTTCAGCTGTTCTCTGTGCCGCAAGGAAGCAGTATTGGGGGGGGGTGGAAAGAGAGTGACCGCTGGATATGCAGGGGTCAAAAAAAAAAAGTGGAGCAGCACATGTGGGGGCAGTGCCCTGCAGCTGCCAGCCAGGCTCCAAGTGACAGAATTGCCCCTGCTGCAGCCCTGGGAGGCCCCCAGTACCCTAGGTAAGGCTGCTGGGGCTAGTCTAGTGCTGGCCCCAGCCTCTCCTATCCCACTCCCACTCAGGGTAATCTGCCATGTGCCAGAGCACACATGGGACGGGCATTCCCCAGGAAAAACTAGCAGTGGGACATGATGCACTGCCACTTGTCTCCAAGGAACCAAACATCCACGCTCATCCAGACATGGCCTTTCATAGTATCATAGGGTTGGATAAAACCTCAAGGGTCATCTAATATGACTCCCACTCAAATGCCAGATGCAGCATTCCTAAACCATCTCAGAAAAATACTTATAAAGCCTATTCTTGAAAATCGCTAATAAAAAAAAAAAAAAAAAAAAGAGAGTTTCAACAAAGTTCCTGGATAGTTTGTGCCATTGTCCTATGGTTCCTACAGTTCAGAATTTCTGAGTATGAACCTAAAACCACTTTGCTACAGGTTCGTGCCCTGCCCTCTGTAGAAAAAAAGACAAATTTTCTCCCTCTTCTTTGTGGCAGCCTTTCAAATATTTGAAAATTGCTATCATGACCCTTCTATTCTCCTTTTTTCTAAACTAAACATACCTAGTTTCTTTCTAACATCTCAAAGACCTAACAGTGCTAATCATCTACGCCTGATTCACAAGATGAACCTAGAGCAGGGGCAGGCAATTATTTTGGGTGAAGGGCCACTTACCAAGTTTTGGCAAACTGTTGAGGGCCGCATTTCTCTTTCCGGTGCAGGACACAGGAACAGCCCCATGGTCCCAGGCCAGAAGCCTCTGCTAGGCAGGGGTTTCTAGTTGGGGGGCAAGGGCTAGGCAGACCTTGCTGCTGGGTCCTGCCACTAGATTCCTCTGGGTCCTACTGCCCCTGGCTCCTGTCATCTTTGACAGGCAGCTAGGAGCAAATAAATATTAAATTTTCTAATTTTTTAGGGGCCCCACGGGCCGGATAGAATGGCCTGGTGGGCCGGATCTGGCCCCCAGGCCCTATTTTGCCCATCCCTGAACTAGAGATTTCTAATAGGAATCTATAGTGTCAAAAACATTCTGACCTATTTTGGGCTTTGAGTTCTTTGCAACAAAAGAATTGCTCTCTCGTTTTTCCGTTGTCAAAAAATGAGCAAGAGGTAAGAGCTGGCATTTTTTAAGGGGTGCCTCGAGCCTAATGAAGTTGATTAGGCTTGATTACTACAACTTCCTTTTTGCTGGCTATGCCACATACAGTCTCGCCCTGTTCATATCCATCCAGAAAACTGCTGCAAAAATAATTTTTCTAGCTTGTTGCTTTGATCATGTCATCCCTCTCTCCATGTTGGCTCCCTCTTTTGGTTCCCAGTTCTTTATCACCTCAAACACAAGTTGTTTGTCTTCACTTTCAAAGCACTGCACAGCCTGTCCTCAGTTGGCCTCTTATGACAGCCTCCTTTGTCCACTTGTTAAGATTTCCAAACAAACACTTTCTCCTTTGCCATGATGGAAATAGAAAAACTTAACAATGTTAAATTAGTGATATACTATGACTACTAACTACCATGCTGACCTACACGGCCTCATTGTTTCCTTGTATTCCCCCCATCTGTCTGCATCTAAATGCTGACTCTCGTCTCATTATTATATTGTAAGTTTGAGATAGGTACCACCTTTTTTGTTCTGTGTTTATAATATAATTGATGGACATAGTCATATTCTTTAGTTCAAATTTTGCATCTACCTAACAGTTGGAAAGGAGGTAGGAGACTAGGGTAGGATTATTATGAGGTGAAAATAAAAGTTGGATACCAATCAGCTGAATTAATTGACAAGAACATTTATATGGACTTTATGGTATTTTTACTTTTAAAAGACCTTTCAAAAAATCATTCCATTTTTGCTGTCAGAGAACTCAAGAACTTTCCACTTCTGGGTGCACTGTAGCCAGCTACTATGTACAAGATGCGGACTGAGATACCAGAAAGCTAGTTGCTGATAGCAAAGCCACCTTTGAAGGGGAGCCTCTCTCTTCCCTCTCTTGGAGGAAAGACCCTTTCCTTTTGTAAAGAGGCCCCTACACACTCCCAAATAAGGTGTCCATTATATAAGGCAGACCCTGAGCTTTCTTTATTCTTCCAAGAATTTCCTTTGGGGAAGAAAATCTAGCAAAACTTCCTCTATTATTCCACCCAACTCTTGGCTCTGATGGACTAGTACATGATTCAGAAGACTGTGGCCATCCAATGATAAAACTTTGATCCAAATACATTTCGGTTTTATCTGAAGATTCTGATTGCAGTACCATAAATTTGTCCAGCCAGGCTCTTGTCAAGAGGGTAGATAACATAGTTAGTGGAAACTCCAGGAATATCTACTGTTCCCTTAACCTTGCGCGACCATCCTAGCCTTGTAAAAGTGGTCTACCATACCTTTATCAGAAAGGGAATACAAAGAAATGGAAACATTGTTGGATAGTGTTCCTTGTCCTAAGAATCTCTTAATTGTAAGTTACATTTCTGAACTGTTTTTAACTGTCTTTAAAAGTTTCTGTAATAACTGAAGAAAAGTAAGATCCTATCTTCTTCAAAATCATTGCCTGGTATTTCTAATAGTGGAGATGTAATTAGTATCAGAAGAGTCCTCTGAATCCAATAACTGCTTCTTCCCAAACTACATGGAACTATAGGCAATAGAAAAGTCAGAGGGAAGGGGGCAGAGGTGCCACTAAGCACCAAATGGACAAGAGTTCGGAGAGCAGGGAAGAAGTGGGGAAAACAAGAGTCTTGTCTATATGCCAGAGGTTTCACTGTTCCCAGCTGCTGCTACTGCAGCTGCAATCACAGCCACAGCCAGATTTGCCTGCCCCACCTGTTGCTCCTATAGCAGCAGCACAGTGTCCACGCATCTAGCTGCTGCTGCAAGAGCACCACTGTGGGATTGCTTCTCCTTCCTAGACTCCACAGGGGTAGAGGCACAATTCCAGCACCCCTAGTAAGTTGACCCCTAGAGCTAGTTCCCCATTCACCCACCCCAAGTTAAGCTACTGTCACCAAGACTGACTTGTTGAGGGAAGTGCCAGACCAACCAGAAAAATATAAAACATGACTGTTGCCAAGGTAAATGAAGAACTGTGGCCTTTGGATACCCTAATTCAGGTATGAGCCAGAAGGCAGGGCACAGCGGCACTTTATAGATTGACTCATTCAGAAAGGCATGAGTTTTTGTAAGCTACAGCCTACTTCATCAGATGCTATGAATGGAACTTGCAGATAGCAGGGCTAATAAACAGAAAGGAATAAAGAATTAAAGAGAGAAAGGACAATAGGAAAGGAATCAAAACAGAAAGGAACAAAGAAGAGGGTGCTGCTGAGAGAGACAAATCTCAGGAAAAACAAGTACTGAATCAGGAGCTAAAGCACTACAGATGAGTATAAAAGTGCTCAAATGAGTGGCTTCAAATATATAGTACAGATTCACCAGTCCCAAACGCAGGTCAGGGGAAATGACAATTAAAGATATCCAGATACAGTTTCTGGAATTTTGAAGACACAGGAGCAATGGCAGTCTTCTGTAGGGAGGATCTTTGGTGTCCAAGGCCAAAAAATAACTAGCTGTGTTCAAAGGCATGAATGTACATTCAGTTGGTGTGGCATGTGAAGATGCTTAGGGGGGTCTGGCTTGTGACCCACTCCACTGTCACTGCCCTGAAGGGCTAAACAATCTTAAATAGCTCAGGGAGTTCCTCCAGTCCCTGTTCTTACTGAAACCTGTCTCTCTCCTTCTGAAATTCCCTCTGCAGCTATGTTCTCTTGTGTTACTCTGTCTGTTACTAAATTATCTTCCTCAGAAAGATCCCAGAAAGGTGGCTGGAGACTCTGCTCTCACTTTTCTCCCACTTGTAACTCTTCCTGCCTTCCCTCTTCATTAATCTTCTTCAGACTGCCATCTTCAGGCTGCTCTCCATTAAGCTGTAGTAAACCCTCT